TGTATTTGTGTGGTCATTCACATCATAATTTAAAGTGGACCTCCATCAGACTGGGGTATGAACAATCCACAATCCAACAACAAGCCACAGAAGATGTGATGTCTCACTCTGTACTGTATTTACAGGAGGAAATATGGATGCTACACAMGTGTGTAGATCTATTCTGAAATTGTTGTGCAACCAGAACCAGCTACATTATTGTCTGCTGTGATTGTTTTGTCTAGTGTTTGAACTGAATCTACACTCCAGTGTAGAATCTCTTCAACGGGAGTGACGCATTAAAAGACATCTCACTTACATAACCATCATGCTAGTGTCGATAAGATTTGACACAAACGTTGGTGTCGTTTATCGATGCAGACTGTCATTCAGGACGTGGCAAATAAAAAAAATAAAATATAAATAAAATTAATAAAAGCAAAAAGGCAACTGGACTTCTGTTCAAGTTCCAAACCTTAAACTGCATGACACTGGTACTGATATTATAAATATCTGGACTGATCCGTACCTCTAACCTTAATGAGGTAAATAACTAATTAAATGAGACATGRCCRTTTGATAAATATCAGATAWGCATCTGATTAAGACACYCTTCTGTTCAGGAAATCATTCCACAGTTTGCAGCCAGCTAGCAGGTGAGCAGCTCTGTGGCTAACCAAACTTTTCATCACAACATAACTCTGTGTTTAAAAGTAGAGCCCTGGAACTATACATCAGTTTTACAACTGAGCTGATAGGCCAAGTAAWACCAGAGTTATGATAATGATTATCCAATATTTTCCCCCAAAAATGATTGYCATTTTGAAACCTGTTGTTGCTGCAGCGTGAGTGGAGTGAGCTGCAACAGTAAACATGGGCAGACTCATGGCGAAAACAACCTAATTCTTACTCAATCTCACTCCTTTCATGTGAGCAGAACAAACCATCTACCTCCTTTCAAAGTTTTTTTGTCAAGCACCAAATATTCTGCAGCAGGAAGAAGAAAAAGATGCTCAAGTTTAATTAATTTGGCAGTGATGGAGAATGGAGTGAGTAAARAAATCTGTGATATTTAGCCTGTTTGGACTTTATTAATAAGGTGTATTTATGTGTGTTTATCTTGCAGTTTGAGTCAAAACCATCAGACGATTTTTGAACGAGAAACTACACATTCTGTTTGGTTACATTGTTCACATATTTATTAGGGGTGCACCGATAYATTGGCCAGCTGATTTATCGGCACAGATTTCCTTCATTTTGGGAGATCAGAGATCGGCCGGTACTTAGATAAGATTGGTGGAATATGTCGGCTTCTCTACCTCCACAAAGGTCTGAAAATCAGCCACTGTCCTCTTTTGCTCTGCTGTGAGCTTAAACTAATGTCCTGTTAAAACAGGTTTGTATTATTTCAAGGGTATTGTTCAAYGTTTGTCAATAAAATAAGATTGGAATTGAAGGTGTATTGTGCACGACATCTGACAGTGTCAGCTATTTTAAAAATTGGTATTGGCCGAAATCACAGTTAGCTATTACTGTTTATGCTTGTATTTTGATTTATATAAAATCAACAATGACAACAATAATACTAAATAATTAATAAAAAATTATGATGACATTAATAATATTAATATTGATATTAAAACAAACACAGCTTTGGTATCAGAATAGTATCGTACAATATCTAAAATTCAGGTATAAGATCAAATGTTGCATCCCTAAAAAAATAATAAATCACAATATGTAGTAGTTTAAAAAGACACATATTGAATCATAAATCATGCTAGGCTGGTCTTGACAACATAAAACACTGTTTTAATCTTGATAGTTCCGGTTTTCTTGCCCTAGTTTCTGATAATGGCTGATAAATGATAAAAGCTTCTCTAATCTCTTTGTCCCCAATTTAAACAGCTTACAAAAGCACAAAAACCTGGCATTGTGGGACAATAAAAGAATTGAACTGTTGCACAAGCAACGTGTGGAGGGCAAAGCAACAAATCATTTGTCTCCTCCGGCCGGGCACACGTGACGTCTGCTGAYGCAAGATGAAACAAACCTTTACTAAACTGAAATCAGCCCTCGTTTCTCCTGACGGTAATAGAAATGTCTACACAAATATATACGAGCCTGCCAAACAGACTAAAACTATCAATAAAAAACAAACAAACAAAAAAAAACAATTACCCGTGTGATCAAGATGTCTTTAGTTGCACATGATGACCATGTTCTTGGGCTCCTGGGAAAACAAGAACAGACTGAATCACATCAATAATCATCAATCATAATATAACACAGAAGATCAGGATKAGAAAATGATCAGATTATCCAGAAATTGTCACTTTGCATTTTTTACTAACAATAAAACTGCCACTCGAATGTGTGCACACAAATTAAAGAAATATACCAGGGATTTTAAAGCGGGGTCCTTTGGAAAAGTTGTGAACAATAAATATCTTACCTGCTGCAGATAACTGACTGAATGACCTAYGTTTGGAGAAATAGCTGTTTTGTCTAGATTTAAAGCTAGTTCAAACAAACCCAAGATCAAAGTGGATCACTTCTTACTCATCTTCACACTGCTGATWGTTTCTATTAACGCTGTTATTTACATGAAATTCTGTTGTTTACAAGTGTAAACAATAACTAGCTGTAGTAATTTTAGTTCAGCCTGGAGCCACGTCTGGTGGAAATTGGAGAATAGTTTTCACAAAACCTGTGTAATGTAAASTGATGGTGGTGTAAAAGTTTATAAAACAGGAGGGATGGGAGGGTGTCTGGTTTGGTTTGGGAACCTCAGGGTCTTGCCTCTGCTTTATGTGGGTGATGTGGTTCTGCTGGCTTCAGCTCCTCTAGTTTTGGGGTCGTGGTTCTTGACTGTCAGGGGAGGGGGTCTTTGCCTCAGGTGGAGGAGTTCAAGTATCTGGCCATCTTGTTCACAAGTGATGGCAGAGTGAAGCAGGAGACAGAGCGACGAACTTGGGCCTCGTTTCGTTTGGTTTTAGTCAACCAGTCAGTTGTCTATGTTCCAACTCTCACCTGTGGTTGTGGGGTTTGGATCACAAAAGAAGCAGATCCAGGATAAAAGCGGCTGTAATGAAATTCCTGTCTTCAACAGGGTGAGGAGTGCCATCATCTGGGGGGAGCTCAGAGTAGAGCTGCCGCTCCTCTGCATCAAAAGGAGTCAGCTGAGGTGGGTCATCTGATTAGGATTCTTCCTGGATGCCTTCCTTTAGAGGGTTTCAGGCACGTCCCACAGGGAAGAAGTCCCAGGGCAGACCAGGAACACACTGACAGTGTTGTGGTTCTTCAACACTTTGGAGCCACCCCCATGAGATGAAGGGTGCTGCAGGGGAGACGTTGGTCTGGGTTTAACTCCTGGACCTGTTGCCTCCAAGACCTGACTAGAAGTAAACAGTAGAAGATGGAGATGAAATATGATTTTTTTTTAATACTGGAGATATGTTAAGATGCCAGCAATCCACTTTAAGCTCAGGCTGAATTTAGACCAGGCATTACCTCGTCAGTCCTGTTGGACTTTTATCTCTTTAACTTTTAAACCTATCTACAGTTAATGAAATTAAATATTGTTCATAACTATAATGCAGAACCCCATTTTAAAATGACAAAATTATCTTAAATGTTTAAAAGATAAATTAATAAAACATTTTAGCAGCACATTTCCAACCTGTTGTGTTATAACACAACACCATCACTAAACTTTAGCTCCTACCTACGTAAAATAACAAAAATAAATAACAAAACTGAAAAATATAGGTATTTTATAGATTTAATTTCCAATTATATATTCACTATTAACCTTATGAAGCAAAACCACTGAAAGAAAAACCACAAGCTGACTGAATCAGTTCATCAGTTCTTAAATCATTTTAAGAGATTAAAATAAAGAAAAACAATAAATGCTTGTTGTACCTAATCACTCCAGTGTTAACTGAAGCTAAGTCTATATTAATCAGACCACAACAGAAAGGAGCACCATAATCATTAGGCTACTTTTGCTTTAAAAGGGGATCCATGATTAGATGTAACATTAAACTTTATTTGATAAACATTTATTTTAACTGTAAAATAAAGACTGTAAAAATACTGTAGGAT